AGACACATAAAGCAGGTAGAACTGCTGGTTCTTTCCCCCTGGTAATTCAGTGTAAAATCAGGTATCTTAGAGTGGCTTTCCTTCCTTGCATAGCCTAGCTAGTGTGTCCTGTTAATCGGTTAGGTGTATGTAAGCAAGCAGTACCTGCTACCAACCTAAGAAAGTTTAAACCTGAAGGCAGCTGTCAGGTTTCTCTTCTTTCCAACAAACCCCTTGTGTTCTCTGCCAAAAATTCTTTTCCCAAGGAGTTCTTGGTGCTCAGTGAGAGGCACAGTCACATCTGTAATAAACGTAAAAGCAATTATAATTGTGATCTTTTAAAATCAAGTGGTAGGGTGGATAATTCAAGTCACCATCTTATTTTAGATTAAAATGTGAGGTATGAGGTGGAACAAGTTGAACAGGTGAGAGTGAGCTGGTATCTCTCTGGAATGAAGGCTTTTCTTGAAACCTGGGAGGAGTGGGGATAATTTTCCTGTGTACCTATAAAGTTATGGCCCTCCTGTGCTCATCCCAAGTCTCTTGGCATTTATTAAGTAGTGTGAGTGGGGGGTGGGTTCTATTATTGGTGTTTTCATGTTGTAGAGACAGATGAATCTTAATGTGACATGAATGAAGAAACATGAGAAAACTGGCAGCCGTTCACAAAAATTTCAAGAGTGAGGAAATTCATTAGAACCTTCAGGTTCTCCTGTTTACTGCTTGTAGAGCTCAATTTCCAATGAATTGATGGTGAAAGGGTCTTCTGCTTGATATTCTCTTTGTATGAAGTGTTTGCTGTGTGTCATTCATTTTTTTTTAAACATTTGTTGTTGGTTTTGCCACAGTGAAAAACTAAAGGGCTGGTTTTCAATCTGTGCCTGACATAGCCTAATGCTTCTATGATAGTGCCTGGGAGGCTGCTGAAGGGAAAAGACCAAGGGGCACTGGCCCTGGGTCACCCACTATTGAGTCAGTACTAATCTACCTTAATCTCTTTTATGCAGCGGCAGTTTGTCTAAGAGTTTTGGTTTTTTAAAAATTTCATTGCTTGAAATATTTTTGAAAGCCCTTGCTTTAGGCAATTGGTGTTATTGTGCACAGAAAAATAAATCACTTCCTTTTGAAGAATCGTTTTGGAGTGTTCACGTCTCAAAGAGGTGAAATATATGACTTCTTTGCTCACTTTCACTGAGTCACAAGTCCTGCCTGTTGGAATGCTTGAAATTTTTTTGAAAACAAAATGTGCCTCCACTATGTAAAAGGTTTTTATATCATAAAAATATTTTTACATATAAAGTATATGTATTATCACTTTGATTTCATAGCTTATAGGTGTGTAACTCAAACTAAGAAGTAAAAAGTTATGTATTGTATATGGCATGAGACAAGATTATGTTTCAGATGGCCTTGGTGAATACAATTTCTAGTTCTGCCTTCAAAAGAAGACTATTTCCAAAAGATATCTAATTGTAGGTATCTAGTTATGGGTAATAATTGAGATATTATTAGAGGAATCCAATTATGTCTTCGTTTTTCATTAGAATCCAATTAATTTCTAAGAGAGTATCCACTTATGTCTTTGTTTTCCAAGAGTATATTAGAAATTTGGCCTGCTTAATGTATCCTTATAAAAATGATACAGGGTGAGACTGTGAGAACTACTTGACTTTATTGAAGAGTCCCTAGATCTCGCACCTGGTTGGAACAAGGTTGGTTATTCTCAACAGTTTCCTCCAAATAGCTCTGAAGTGTAATTGATGTTTGAGGTGATTCTGGCTTATGTAATTTCCCATCTTCCCTACTCAGGAAGCATTTATTGGCTATATTTCCTCTTGTTGTTTTACTTGGGACTTCTCTTTTTGAGGTAAATATAATTCAGAATATGTTGTTTAAGCAGTGTTGAAAACATATAGGTGAGAAGATAGCAATTGGGGAAGTTGGTGGAACTATATGTGCTGTGAACTGGAGAGTCTTGGGAGAAACAAACTACTGATAGTTCTCTAAGTATAAACTGGGAAGAAGGAAGAGGTAAAATCATTCATATTTTGCCTCTATGTTGACTTTAAAGAGAGGTGTTTTTTTTTTTAACCCTCAAAATCCTGAATTCGGTGCATAGGTTCATTTGAATTTGATTTGCTCTTGGATGAGAACACCATGTCTTGAGCCTTATTAGGCCTTTGCCAAGAAATAGCATGTTTTCTGCATTGGAAATAAATCACTGGTTAGTTTTCCTATTTAAATTATTTTGAATTTAAGTCTTTTACTGCTATTCAGGGAGTAGGTGAAAAACCTTAAACACTTCGGGTTACTAGAGTAACTATTGACTTCTTTCGTTGTGACATTAGGAAAGTTGATGTGGGCAAATTGACAAGCAAAGATCTCATTTTTTTTTTTTTCTTCTGAACCAATTGAGTTTTTCCTCCCTTTGTTTTAGTACTTATGTATCTGTGTATTGAGACTGAAGCCATTGTGGGACTGGGTAGCAAGTGCTGTACATGTAATTTCTTTTGTCCAAAAACAGAGACAAAGAGTCTGGTTCTTATAGAGGAAGGATACTTGCAATTATTTCTATGGCAGAATTTATTAGAATTCTCTAATAAATTCTTTTAAAATAGTAAGAGCTTTAGAATTTTGCTTTTATTTAATCAGAACTTAAAACTTCCTGAAATGATATAAAATGTGAATATACCGGAAGATTATATTCACAATTATGTCAACCTTTTTAAAGATAAAGATTCTGAATAAAAACAATCTAGTGAAAGATGTTTGACTGTAATTTTTTTTTTTTTTGGTACAAAGATATCTTTTCCTAGAGTCATGACATGTGTGGAGACAAATTTCATTCCTGTACAACTTTAGTGACCTAAAGGATAGGTGTAGTCATGGATTTCAACTCTCCCTTTTTCTCTCCTTCCCCCTTCCTTCTTCTCTCTTTTTCTGCTTCATCTCTTCATATAACATTCACTTATGAAGCAGCCTTGGTGTCATGGACCATCTTAGCCTCCTGAGTAGCTGAGACTACAGGTATGCACCACCACACTTGGCTAATTTTTTATAGAGTTGAGGTCTAGCTGTGGCCTCAGAAGGTAAAGGTTTGTATTCTGCTTTGCCTTGTTACAGACTCTGGGAACTTTGACAGTTTATCTAACTTCTCAGTCTCACTGCTGATTTTTAAAATGAAGAAACTAATTATCACAATTACAAAAGATTAAATGAAATAATGTATGTGAAGGAACACAATGAACATTGATACTCTATTAAAATATATATATATTTTTTGAGACCAGGTCTCACTCAGTCACCCAGACCGGAGTGCAGTGGTGCAATTCTGGTTCACAGCAGGCTCCATCTCCTGGACACAAGCCGTCCTCCATCTTAGCCTCCCGAGTAGCTGGGACTACAGGCATGCACCACCACACTTGCCTAATTTTTTATAGAGATGAGATCTAGCTGTGTTGCCCAGGCTGGTCTTGAACTCCTGGGCTCAAAGGATCATCCTTCCCTGACCTTCCAAAGTGCTGGGATTTCAGGCGTGAGCCATTGCATCTGTTTAAAAAAAACTTTTTTGAGGTGCAATATACAGAAAATGTTTTAGCCATTTTAGGTGTAGTTCAATAGCATTATGTATATATTTACAGTGTAGGGCGATCATCGCCACTATCCATTTCCAGAATTTTTTCATTGGATATGTTTCCAAATATAGAAATTCTATACCCATTACACAATGACTTTTCTTCCCCTGCCACCAGCTCCTGGTAACCTCTGTTTTACTCTTTGACTGTATGATTCTGATCCCCCCTCACCCCTCGATACCTCATATAAGTAGAATTATACATTTGTGTTTTCTGTTTGGCTTATTTTACTTAGCATAATCTCTTCAAGTTTCATTCATGTTGTAGCATATGTCACAATTTCACTCCTTTTTATTCCATTGGATGTATATATCCCATTTTGTTCACTCATCTGTTGAAGGACACTCAGGCTGCTTACACCTTTTGGCTATTGTGTGTAATGCTGCTATGAATATGGATGTACAAATCTCTCTTTGAGACCCTGCTTTCCATTCTTTTGGGTATATGCTCAGAAGAGGAATTATGGGGTCACATGGTAATTATTTATTTAACTTTTTGAGTGACAGCCTTTTTTTTTAAGAGATAGGGTCTCACTCTGTTGCCCAGTGGCATATCATTGCTCACTGCAGCCTCAAACTTCTGGGCTCAGGCAACCATTCTGCTTCAGTGTCCTGAGTAACCAGGGACTATAGGTATGTGTCACCACACTCAACTAATTTTTTTTTTTACCTTTTTTTGTAGAGTTCTCGCTAATATTTTCCCAGGCTGGTTTTGAACTCCTGGCATCAAGCAATCCTCCCGTTTTGACACCCAAAGTGCTGAGATTACAGATGTGAGTCACTGTACTTGGCCATATATTAAAATATTTTTTGAATCTATTGAATTGGTTGTAATGATGCAACTCCTTAATGACATGTTTATTCATAGTGGTATTTTTCCCCAGCTTTATTAAGATATAATTGACAAATAAAAATTATAGTTATATTATTTAATGTGATATTTTGATATGTTATACATTGTAAAAGGATTAAATCAAGCTAATTAACTATAGCATCACTTCATATATTTTTTGTGTTGAGTACAGCTAAAATCTACTTTCAGCAATTTTCAAGTATACAATTTATTATTATTAACTATAGTCATCAAGAGAGTCCAGAATTTATCCATCTTGTCTAACTGAAACTTTCCCACCCCCCCATAATGGTCTCTTAATTTCTATAGCTCACATGATATGAATCAGGACACTGAGATCAGCTTAAGTTTTAGGGCTTCAGGAACACCTTGCCAAGGTAGTAAGCTCTCTAGCCCATGGTTCTCAGAAATGCATTAACTGAATGTTTAAACATCACTGAGGATGAGGATTTACTCTGCTGTCCTCCAAATGTGTTGACTAAACAATAGCTTTATCAATGTATTTAATATTTTCTGCTTTGTGCCTTTTTGTAGGGATTTAGGAGACTGAAGACAGGCTGATGGGCTCAATTGGTAGACTTCACTGTCTCACCATGACTGCCGAAAATCCCATGCCTGGAGACCTGGCTCTAGCTCCTCTCGTCACTTGCAAACTTTGCCTGTGTGAACAGTCTCTGGACAAGATGACCACGCTCCAGGAATGCCAGTGCATCTTTTGTACAGCTGTAAGTTTTCCTTGATGCTTTCACTATGAGAAAAAACAAAGAGAAATCTCGTAAAAGTTCAGGACACATTTCTGTGGCTTACTGAGAAGCCAAGTTTTGGTGTACTATAATCCTGCTTTGGTAAGCAATCTACATTTGGATCTGTTTCCAAATAGTATCTTGAAAATAGTAAATCCTATGTTTACTTGTTCTTAGTAAGTATAATGTATGTTTGAAATGTAATTATTGGTTGAATAAATAGTCTTTCTGTTCCAAGGTTCTAATTATGGAACAAAATAGAGCAACTTTTAACATGCTTTAGGTAACTACCATCTGTAAGAAGCTCACCAGGAATTTTGAATGATGGAGAAATCAGGTAGCAGTTTACTTTGTCTGTGGAATTTTCTTTCATACACTTGCTCATCTCCTACAAAGCACATGGTATAAATTGTTTTTATTTTGTCATAGCTCCTTTTATTCTATTTTTACAATATGCTTAATGCTACTTGATCCACACAATTAAAAGAATCCTCTAGATCCTCAGGAGTGGGCTTATCTCTGTCAGTGTGACACTTGGTATCGACACCTGTGATAGGAAACTAGGAGTTTTCCTTGAAGGCTGGTTAGTTGAGGTATAAAGATAGAAAACAGACTGATGAGTTCCTATAGGATTTAAAGATGACAGAGAATAGTATTGTTTGTTCATTCATTCAACAAAGATCTATTGAGTAGCAACTGTGTCCCAGGAACTGTTCTAGGCACCAGGATTTATCAGTTAAAGAAACAAAACTGACCGGGCTTGGTGGCTCAGCCTGTAATCCCAGCACTTTCGGAAGCCAAGGCAAGTGGATTTCCTGAGTCCATGGGTTCGAGATCAGCCTGGGCAACTTGGTGAGACTTCATCTCTACAATAAAAATTTAGAAATTAGCTGGGTGTGGTAGTGCATGCCTGTAGTTCTGGCTTCTTGGAAGGTTGAGGTGGAAGGATTGCTGGAGTCCAGCAGGACGATGCTGGAGTGGCTGTGAGTATGCCACTGCACTCCAGCCTGGGCAATGGAGTGAGACTCCAACCCCACCCCCAAAGAAAAAAGAAACAAAACCCAGCAAAGATGATTGTTTTTCAGAGCTTGTGTTCTATCAAAGAAAGTTATGCAGGTGTGTAGGGCCGAGCAGATGTTGCAGTTTTAAGCAGGATGGTCAGGACTAGACCCTCCTGAAGAGCAGTGTTTGTGCTGCTTCTCCTTCCTGATGTTATCAGTGTTGCTTTATAGGAAGTGAGGAAATGGCCTTGTCATCTCAGAATAACTTCAGTTTCCTCTGGTCTTGTTTTGTTTCTGAAGGCTGTCCTTCAAAAACAATTATTTCTCTGACTTCCTCATAAATATTGCAGACCCTTGTCAAAATCTCAGAAGCAACATTTGTGAAAACCAGGATGGAAAATTTTCTCTGAGGGTTACTGATGTTTAAAAGCAGGACATGGCGTTGGGTGCGGTGACTCACACCAATAATCCCAGCACTTTGGGAGGCTGAGGTGAGAGGATGGCCTGAGCTCACAGGATTGAGATCAGCCTGGGCAACTTGGCGAGACCTCATCTCTATAATAAATCAAAAAATTAGCTGGTCGTGGTGGCGCATGCCTGTAGTTCCAGCTACTTGGACGGCTGAGGCAGAAGGATCACCTGAACCTGGCAGGTCAAGGCTGCAGTGGTCGTGAGTGTGCCACTATACTCCAGCCTGGGTGATAGAGTGAGACTCCAACTCAAAAAATAAAATAAAATAAAATAAAATAAAATAAAATAAAATAAAAGCAGGACATGGAATTCAGCTTTTGCTATGATATTTAGTGGTGCAGAATTTACATTTGTTCATTAACATTGGGTAAAGAATACATAAGCAATGGTTGTATTTGATCTTCACAAGGAGCTAACACTGTCATATTATTGTTTCAACAGATTTTAGTACCTAATTAAAAACAACATGACTGTTTCTCATTTCTCTTTCAGTAATTTGAGGGCAGGAGTTAGTACAATTAGAATATTTCACCATCTAGATTCATACTTCCTTATTGTTAGGGAATGCTCTAAAGCAGAAAGTCAAATGTCTTGACATTTTTGGTATCCTTCCAATTTTGAAACGTTTTGCACACCTATAAATATTAACTCTTCCTGGCATTCTGTTACCCTATTACCCATGAGCTGCTAAAATAGTAAGCTGTGTGTATATGATTACAGTAGTATCTGTAAATTTGCAAATTAGAATCAGACTCCCCTGAAATACAATTTTAACTGTTTTGTTTTTTTTTTTGGTTAGAGATTTATTTCTTCTTCTTTTTTTTTAAAGTTTTAAAAAATGTGTCTAATATCCCCAGACTTTAATTTTCATTCAAATTAAAGATACAAAATATGTTTTGTGTTTTCAAGGCTGAAAATAAGTTTATAACTTTTTGATATGACACATACTACTAATTTCCACTTTTACATAGGATTTGATGACATCTCCCAACCTCTGGCTGGGAAAGACTTCTTATACATATCATACATTAAAATGGTTTTACTGGTTTTGCTAAGAATCACCTCTATCTTTAGAGAGACCTGGCATTTATTTATTTAGAGTTGGGGGGTCTTACTCTGTCACCCAGGCTGGAGTGCAGTGGTATGATCATGGTTCACTGCAGCCTTGACGTCCTGGACTCAGGTGATCCTTCTGCCTCAGTCTCCCAAGAAGCTAGGACTACAAGTTTGCGCCACCAGACCTGACTAATTTTTTTATTTTTATTTTTTGTTGAGATGATGTCTTACTATGTTGCCTAGGCTGGTCTCAAGCAATCTTCCTGTCTCAGCCTCCCAAAATGCTAGGATTACAGGTATGAGCCACTTGCCCAGGTGTGTTTCATCAACTACCAGCTATGGAAAACAGACATGGTTCTTGAATAAAGTGTTCTGTAGTCATACTAACTTGGAAACTGTTATGTTCTCTGTTCCTTTCGTAGAGGGACACAGTGCACACATGCATTTTAGAAGCTATGTGAAATTTTGAGACTAAAAGGAAAGCAGGGAAACCCTGTTTAACTTCTCCTGATGAAACATTCTCATTTAACTATGCCACCATTTTAAGTAGCACACATATCAACTTGTCCACAACTAGTGCTCTGAAGAACACTGCTTTAAATGATTTCATGTAGGTAATTCATGATTTAAATGACACCCAGAGAAAAGAATGTGATGGACAATGCTTCTTATAAACCACCAATATTATTTGGTTTCTTGTTAAAGGATGTTCTGTCTGTGAAAATGGTTTCTGTTAGACAATTTGCTTAGCTTTAATATACATAATAAAGTATAAAGTAAGAGAACCTGAATATATAAGACAAAACTGGCCTAGTTCTCACTAGCATGACGGAAGTCATACAACATTAGGTATATTACAGAGCCAAAGAAGTTGATATCTTGGGGTTACAGAGAGAGAGAGAGAGAGAGAGAGAGAGAGAGAGAGAGAGAGAGAGAGAGAGAGAAAGGGAGAGATGGAGATGTTGCATACTTATTTATTCTGTTGGCTCAGGGATACTAGTCTACTAACAATATGCAAAGAGTATCTATCTCATTTTCTGGCTTTTGCAACACACTCTTTCAGATAATGCCACACAATTTAAATTCAGGTGAAAAAGTCAGTTATCAAATTCATAAAGTCAGTTATCAAAGTAATTAAAATGTGTGGGTCTGCTCCCTTGTACACAATATTAGCTTCTGATTTTTTTTTTTTTTTGGAGTGATTTCTGTCAGCCATGAATTAAGCAATAGTGAAAACACCGTGTTGCTTGTTTTTATAACCTAGATAATTTCACCTGAAAAGAGTTGGTATGTTGGGCATGGCCTATTTACCTTTCAGATTAAAGACAGGATGTGCTGAGCAAAAAGAAAATAAAGTCCAGTCATATTCCTGCCTTTCTTTCCATTATGTTCTGTTGGCTCTAGGTAGTTAGAACTCCTTTTACTATTCATTTCTCAGAGCCAAATGGATTTTCCAATGTTTAAAAAGTGAGAGGAAATATAAAACTTTTTAGACCAAGCCCTTTTTCCCCTTGGGGCCTGTTGGGTGACCTTTAAGAAAAGCCCAGAGATGTCTTGGGACACTGTCTCAGTCCATTTTGTGTTGCTATAACAGAATACCTGAGACTGGATGATTTTATAAAGAAAAGAGGTTTATTTAGCTCACGGTTCTGCAGGCGGGAAGTACATGAAGTATGGTGCCAGCATCTGGTTGGCTTCTGGTGAAGCCCGTGTACTAGGTCAAAACACGATGGGGAAGGTCAAAGGGGATGCAGACTAATATGAAGAGACAAAGTCCAAGGGGTGGCCTGGCTTTTTAATAACCCGCTCCAGTGGCAATGAATCCATTCTGACAAGAACTAATCCAGGCTCACCAGAGCAAGAACACACTGTTTTCTGAGACACCATCACCAAGCCACTCATGAGGGATACGCCTCTTGACCTAAACACCTCCCACTATGTCCCACCTCCCAACACAGCCACAATGGCATCAAATTTCAACATGAATTTTGGTGGGGACAGATAAACCATTTCCAAACTATAGTAGAGATACAGTTTGGGGAGATTTGCAGTGTGCACATGCATATACGTGCGTAGGCACACACACAGGTTGGTAACTTTCAAATGAAGCAAAAAACTTGCAATAATTCTTTCTGGGGTTCTAACCAATATCTGCATCAGGGAAAAGCAATGCCATTTTCTTGCTGCCATCTTTATTCTTCCCTTGCAGTGTAACATAGTGCTTAAGAGCACACACAGTGGAAACAAGAAGATACAGACTCAAGTTCAGGCTTCACTATTTAATGGTGTGTGATTTCCAGCAAGTTATTTGGCTTCCCTAAACTTTTGTTACCTTACTTATGAGATGAAGGAAGGGGAGGGGTTGACAATACCTATATCGGGAGGCAAGTGAGAATTCCAGTAAAGCATCTAGTACAGTGCCAAGCACATGGTAAACTGGCATTATTATTGTTT